TCAATTTGTGGGTATTTTCTGATCTATAAACCGTCCCTAACTAATGATCGGCTCATGTTTGAGGATGATGAATCACTTCATGTCGAACTGTTGCCAATAAACTTTCTGGCCTCATATGAGGATGGAAAACTGGAGCATTTTTTGCATCGATGGATGAAGAATTGCGAACATAAGAATTTCCGGTTGACCAATTTTGATGTGTCCTAATGATAAAAAAAGATTATGGTTAACATAATTCATGTGGCTAAATACTCACAAAATTATCCATGATGAAAATTAAGTACCTGTCTATTATAAGTTATGGTCATGTTTTAATGTAGTATAGGGTAATAAAAATTATAGACAAAATTATATAAATGGTCCCTGTTGTTTACAAAAGGTCACAAAATCAGTCCATGCTAATTTTTTTGATGAACATGGTCGGCCTGGTTTCCAAAACTTGCATGAATGATCCTTTTTGCTAGCACCGTTAGTTTTAGTCCGTTAGTGTGATCGTAATTTGATGTTTTTAAGTAGCAGAGATTGAGTTTATGACAAAAATAAACCATAGAGACGATTTATTTAATTGTTTATATATTTTAATTTTAAGAGTTTGTGGCTTTGCCACACCTTTACTTTTTAAAACTTCAATTTTACCTTTCACTTTGAACTTTGTAAAATGTTATTTTCATCCTTTCATTTTTTAAACTGTCATATTTATCTCTCATATTTTGTATAGTTTGATTTTACAAAATAACTTTGTTGGTTAACCTAGAAAAACTATTTTTTTTCATTTTTATTTTATATACATGTTAGTCTAAATTCAGGGTGGTCCACGTTTCGACATGAATTTAGAATTTTTGTTCGTTAACTCTTTTTTTACGTTTTTGTGTTTATTTTATATACGTTTCTACATATGAGTCGCGTCATATATAATAACTTTCATTTGTTAATTTAAAAAACTATTTTTTACGTATTTATTTTTATGTGTGTGTCGGTATAAATTCAAGGTGGTAAATGTTTCAACGTAAATTTAGAACTTCTGTTAGTTATTTTTTGAATCTAAATTTTTTTTGTTTATGTAGGTATCCGTTTAAATTCGAATCATATATAATAAATTTCGTTCGGTAAGTTAAAAAAATGAAATTTGTCTATGTTTCTATGTAATTTTTATTTTTTGTGCTTGAATCTATATATATTTCATATGTATGAGTTGCATCACATATAATAATTTTTGTTTGTAACTTAAAAATAAACTAAAAGGTTACGTGTTTATTTTTATGTACGTGTCGGTATAATCGAAGATGGTTACATTTTGACATATTAGATGTAAATTTAGAACTTTCGTTCATTAATTATAAAAAAAACTTAATTGCTTTTTGTATATGTACGTGTCGGTATAAATTCGAATTCGTCTATTGCTTGACGTCGAAAACATAAAAAATCCTTCAAACACAAAAATAAATAAATAAATAACAAACAAACTACATCAAAATATAGACAAAAAATTACCACGAAACATAAACACCTCAAATTTAAACCGACAAGTGTATACAAAAACAAGTAAGTTTAAAAAAATAATAATAATAAAATAAAATAAACGAATGAAAGTTTAAAATTTACGTTGAAACGTTTATCACCTTGAATTTATACGGACACATACATAAAAATAAAGACGTAAAAAACTAGTTTTCTTCAGGTTAACAAACAAAAGTTATTATATATGACGTGAATCATACGTAGAAAATGTAAATAAAAATAAACACAAAAACGTAAAATCATATATGTCGAAACATAGACAAAGTCGAATATAATACGTTTTTTAAAGTTAACAAATGGAAATTCTTATATATGGCATGACTCAAACGTAGGAAACATAAGTAAAATTAAACATGAAAACGTAAAAAAAATATATTGAAACGTAGATAAACTTGAATTTATAATGATACATGCATAATTTAAACAAGTTTTTTTTATTTATTTAAAGAATTACCGAACTGAAGCTTTAAAATCATGTCGAAACATTGACCACCTTGGATTTATAACAATATATATATATATATATATATTATATATATATATATATATATATATATATATATATATATATATATATATATATATATATATATATATATATACACACACACACACGGAGGATAAACAAGATAGTTTAAAAAATGAAGGGATGATAATAACAAAGGATGATAATAGCATTTTACAAACTTCAAAGGAAATGGTGAAATGAAAATTTTAAAAGTAAAATGGGAAAGCCAAAAACTTTTAAACTTTAAATATGAAAATAATTACATAAATGCTCTTTATGGTTCACCTATTGTCACAAACTTAGTCCCATCTATTTAATAAAATACCAAATTACCCTTACACCAATGGATTAAAACTAATGGTGTTTGCAAAAAGGATCATTCATGCAAATTTTGAAAATCATAAGGTGTATGCTTGTAAAAAAAAAGTATGAAGTGAGTTTGTAATCTTTTGTAAACCATAGCATTATTTATCTAATTATTTCTAAATTATATTACCATTTAAAGATACTTGTGTCCATAAATGATAAAATAACATGCTAATAGAACTTCGTATAGCTATAGGTTCTTCAATAATCATATTTTAAAAAACATTATATTATTATAGCAAATTAACAACTACAGTTTAATTAATTGTATGTCTAAAATAGAAACAATAGTGTATATATATATATATATATATATATATATATATATATATATATATATATATATATATAGTTAGTTTAATGTGAGACGGCCTAATTTTGTGAGACCATGAGATGCAATTCTAGACCTTCATTTGTTAGATAAAGTAAAAAAAAAAAACATTTTTAAAATGCAAAATAATTGAAAATTTTTGAATTTTTTTTTCTAAATATTTTTGGAATTTATATTTTTCAATATATATATATATATATATATATATATATATATATATATATATATATAATACCAAAAAAATAAAAAATAATAAAAATACATTTTTTTACATATTCTAGTAGAATAAATATAATATGCTACATATCTGTAAAATCTAATATAATGTTTTAACATTCTAAAAATCGCATTAGAATATTTACAGTGTAATATTCTATTAAAATATTTCACGTATTTTTTCAAAAAAAAAAAGCGGTAATTTTTTTCTATTATTTTTTATTTTTTTAGATAATTAAAGTTCTGAACATAATAATTAAAAGAAGAATTTTTGGATTTTTCCTTTTATTTTGCATTTTAAAATTATTTGTAGATTTTGTCTCACGGTCTCACAAAATGAGCATGATATCAAATAAATCTGAGCTTATATATATATATATATATATATATATATATATATATATATATATATATAGGCTCATTTGAGACAATGCTAATAATTTAAAAATGAAAAATAAAAAGAAAAATCAAAAAATTCTTTTTTTAATTATTATTTTCGTATTTTTGATTACCATAAAAAATAAAAAATACCGTTTTTTTTTTAAAAATACGTAAAATATTCTAATAGAATATTAAACTGTAAATATTCTAATGTGATTTTTGAATGTTCAAATATTCTACTAAATTTGCCAGATATGTAGACTATTATAATATTCTATTATAATATGTAAAAAAATGTATTTTTTTAAAAAATTTTGGTATATTTTTAATTCTTTTATTTTTGGAAAATATAAATTGCAAAAATAATATTTGAATTTTTTTTTTCGAATTTTTTTAATTATTTTGCATTTTAAAAATGTTTTTTTATCTAGGAAATGAGTGGCTAGGAATGTTTTTCATAGTCTCACAAAATTAGGCTATCTCACATGAATTTAACTATATATATATATATATATATATATATATATATATATATATAATTTATTAATTTTTTCTCTAAAAACAATCATCTATATATAAACAAAGTGTACTGAGATTTCAAGTTTTATCCTCTAAAAATAGAAATCTCTAATGATAAAATATTATTCTTACATTTTCAATAGAATTACCATTTGTACTTTAATGATTCCTTTGAACCATTATCTCTCTCTCTCTCTCTCTCTCTCTCTATATATATATATATATATATATATATATATATATATATATATATATATATATATATATATATATATATATATATATATATATATATATAACTGTTTTTAGTGGATGACATATATTCTCCTATTCTTAACTTTTTTTTGTTAGTTAGATTGTGTGACGATGAATGACTATGGTTTAATTGATCCGCGATGTCTAAATTATAATCAATTGTCAGTTTGAAAATTTTTGGCGTGTCCAAAGGATAACAAATGTTATGTTAACATAAGTTTATGCAGCCAAGTAGACAATAAATATCCACAATGAAAATAAATTGCGTGTCTATAATGATTTATAATCATGTTTTCATTTAATATGCGTTGTATTTCCTATTAAAGATACTTGTGTGTCAAAATGATAAAACTATCATGCTAATAAAACTGTGTGACTAGATTATGTAATAGTTGCATTTAAAAAACCATTATGTGACTATAGCAGATTTACAACTACAATTTAATTAGTTGTCTATATCTCTTTTTGATTGAAAATTTTAATTGGGAAAAAAGTTTTCAGGTTTTCGTGAACTCATGTGGTTTCTATTTATACCAAATTACTTACTGACACACTTATTTGTATGTGTATGTGAGGGTATACACTTGAAGTTCAAATTTTTTTTCTGATTTTTGTTCTCATGGGCGTGAGTCATCGTTTCGTAATGCAGAATGTCTATTTTAAGTAAAATCTGAGTTGTAAGAAAGAAGAAAATGTGACACAGGTCATGTGAGAGTTCACATTATAATCACACCAATAGTGGCTGTGGATGTCACCAATTACACCTTACATGAATACTTCCGGTAACCATATATTTTTTCTCTCTCTCTTGATAAGTGTTCACTTTCGTGTGTATCTCGACTTTCAAAAGATTAACATCATAAAGGGATACTTTATTAGCTGATAAAAAGGAAGAAACATTGAAAGATGGCTTCAGGATCTTTTCCACCTTACAAAGGAGTTCATAATACTCAGATCATGATGAACTCTCATCAAGAGCCGAACCTCATGCTGCCAATCTCCTTAGTTCCATCCCATCATCATCCTCCTATTGCTCCCATGGAGCAAAGAAATGACCCAGGCTCCTCATGCAAGTTCTTCAACTTTTGTTCTATTTTACCAAATAATCTTCGCATTTTTGTACTTTAAAATTGCTATAAAGGAGGAAAGAAAAATAAAATTCAATTCACGAATTTTGTTTTGTATTTTTTTTTTCATCGAATTCTTGCAATTGAATTGAGAGATTAACATGGGCGTTTTCAATCAATTTCGTTATTTTATTAATGTACACATATTTATGACTCTTAAATTCTTATTTGGCATTTTGGTTCTTTCATGATAGATATTGAAGTAGTAGAAGTATCTGCCGCCACTCTACTTGACGCACATAGGTATGTTTGTAATTACTGCCACAAAGGGTTCCAAAGAGAGCAGAACTTGACACTTCACAAGCGAGTCCACAATCTTCCATTTCATCTCAAAACAAAGGCTGCAAAGGATGCAATGCCTAAAAAGGTGTATATATGCCCTGAGGTCACCTGCATCAACCACCACCCTTCTCATGCTTTGGGAGATTTCGGTGGTCTCAAGAAACATTATTTAAGGAAACACAGTCACGACAAAAAACACAAGTGCGATAACTGCTCCAAGACTTACGCAGTTGAGTCCGATTTGAGAGCACATGTGAAAAATTGCAGCTCAAAAAGGTACATTTGTCAATGCGGCGCCCGATTCTCGAGGTATGGCTTAATCAACTTCCATTTGCTTTATAAAGTATAGATTTTGTGATCTATAAATAAGTAAAAGGGCACTAGTTTTTCTAAGAATGGAAGCTTTTCTAAAATGTTTTATTTCTTTAAAAATTCCGTTCTTTTGATTATTTTGTGTCCATTTTTAAAGATAAAAATTTGTCTAAACTTGTCGAAATGGCATGTCTAGAAAGGAACTCATTAATTACTAGTTTATTAAACTTTTTAATTACATTAATTGAGATACTTTTATTGCTCTCGTTTTTATTCCTAAATGGGCTGTCGGGTCAGGAAAAAAACCGAGTTGTATGAGAACGAGGATTTCATAACTGTACTTATGAAATCATAAATTTCCTTGAATCATTCTCTGATTTAAAACCAGCTATGTAAACGGAAGCGTGCTCCTGTTGTCTACTAAGATCCCAAAATCTCTATTATCCCTTAGACAAAGACTAGAAATAGACAGTGAGTGGGTAGATTAAGGTTTGCAGTGTAGTTGGACACCATTAAGAATAAATGAAACCAATTTATTTCTTTCTTAAGAGAAATATGTAGGAAATGTAGAAAAACAAAGAGGATCTTATGTGTGAGGGAGCTGATTCAGTGCTGTAATTGGTGAGGAATTTGGAGCTGTGGAAGTCAACGTGAAAGAGAAGGAAGGAAAAATATTCACTCCAATTAAAAATGGAAAAACAGCTACAATACACGAGAGGAAAAGGTGTGTTATATACAATCGTACAAAAGTGATGACTAGTCAGACTCCAAAAACGAAGAAGGGAGTGTCCGTATGACCTCAGCACACGCCGGGGGGGGGGGGGGGGTGGGGTGGGGGTGGGGTGGGTGGGGACAAGAAACCAACGGCCAGCTAATGTAAATTTTCTTAACAGAAACATCTGCAAGAAATGGTCGCGTCTAGAGCTCGTTGGCTCAACCGAGTAATGTTTAGGTTTCACATTCTCCCTCTTAACCGGATCAAGATCGGTGTCCGTTACTCTAGGCATGTTCACGTTTCATCATGCTTCACTTGCCCCAAAGCCGTGATAAGATTATGTTCTCTTTGATACGTCATATTGACGTGTCCCACTAAGATTTGTCGGTTCCAACTGATTCCATTATAAATTGAAAACGCATATAAATATGTTCCACCATGAAACATGAGATTGTTCATAACGGCCTATCTAATGTTATTTTTCTTAACGACGACATCTACAAGAATGATGGTCGGATCTGGAGCTCGTGGACTCAACCGAGTCCTATTTAAGCTTCACATTCTCCCTCTTAACCGGATCAAGATCGGTGTCCGTTACGCTAGGCATGTTCACATTTCATCATGCTTTACTTGCACCAAAGTCTTGATAAATGTATATGCTCCTTGATACATCAAATTGACATGTCACACTATGATTTGATGGTTCCAACATAATCCATTATAAATTGAAAACATATATAAATATGTTCCACCATAAAACATGAGATTCTTCATAACGGCCTAGCTAATGTTATTTTTTTTAACGGCGATATTTGCATGAAGGGTCCTATTTAAGCTTCACATTCTCCTTCTTAACCAGATCAAGATCGGTGTCCGTTACTCTAGGCATGTTGATGTTTCATCATGATTTACGTGCACCAAACTCGTGATATATACACACACACATCAGATTGACATGTTCCACTATGATTTGTTGGTTTCAACAAAATCCATAAACAGATATAAATATGTTCCACCATGAAACATGAGATTCTCATAACGGCCTAGCTAATGTTATTTTTTTTAACGGCGATATTTGCATGAAGAGTCGGATCCGGAGCTCATGGAATCGATGTCCTGTTTTAGCTTCACATTCTCCCTCATAACCAGATCAAGATCGGTGTCCGTTACGCTAGGCATGTCCACATTTCATCATGCTTTACTTGCACCAAAGTCTTGATGGGGGGGGGGGGGGGGTGGGTGGGTGGGGACAAGAAACCAACGGCCAGCTAATGTAAATTTTCTTAACAGAAACATCTGCAAGAAATGGTCGCGTCTAGAGCTCGTTGGCTCAACCGAGTAGTGTTTAGGTTTCACATTCTCCCTCTTAACCGGATCAAGATCGGTGTCCGTTACTCTAGGCATGTTCACGTTTCATCATGCTTCACTTGCCCCAAAGCCGTGATAAGATTATGTTCTCTTTGATACGTCATATTGACGTGTCCCACTAAGATTTGTCGGTTCCAACTGATTCCATTATAAATTGAAAACACATATAAATATGTTCCACCATGAAACATGAGATTGTTCATAACGGCCTATCTAATGTTATTTTTCTTAACGACGACATCTACAAGAATGATGGTCGGATCTGGAGCTCGTGGACTCAACCGAGTCCTATTTAAGCTTCACATTCTCCCTCTTAACCGGATCAAGATCGGTGTCCGTTACGCTAGGCATGTTCACATTTCATCATGCTTTACTTGCACCAAAGTCTTGATAAATGTATATGCTCCTTGATACATCAAATTGACTTGTCACACTATGATTTGATGGTTCCAACATAATCCATTATAAATTGAAAACATATATAAATATGTTCCACCATAAAACATGAGATTCTTCATAACGGCCTAGCTAATGTTATTTTTTTTAACAGCGATATTTACATGAAGGGTCCTATTTAAGCTTCACATTCTCCTTCTTAACCAGATCAAGATCGGTGCCTGTTACTCTAGGCATGTTGATGTTTCATCATGATTTACGTGCACCAAACTCGTGATATATACACACACACATCAGATTGACATGTTCCACTATGATTTGTTGGTTTCAACAAAATCCATAAACAGATATAAATATGTTCCACCATGAAACATGAGATTCTTCATAACGGCCTAGCTAATGTTATTTTTTTTAACGGCGATATTTGCATGAAGAGTCGGATCCGGAGCTCGTGGAATCGATGTCCTGTTTTAGCTTCACATTCTCCCTCATAACCAGATCAAGATCGGTGTCCGTTACGCTAGGCATGTCCACATTTCATCATGCTTTACTTGCACCAAAGTCTTGATATATATATATATATATATATATAGATATATATATATATATATATATATATATATATATATATATATATATATATATATATGCTCTTTGATACATCAAATTGACGTGTCACACTATGATTTGATGGTTCCAACAAAATTCATTATATATCGAAAACAAATATAAATATGTTCCACCATAAAACATGAGATTCTTCATAATGGTCTGGCTAATGTTATTTATTTTAACGACAATATTTGCATCAAGGGTCGGATCCGGATCTCGTGGAATCAATGTCCTATTTAAGCTTAACATTCTCCTTCTTAACCGGATCAAGATTGGTGTTAGTTACTCTAGGCATGTTCGTGTTTCATCATGATTTACTTGCGCCAAACTCGTGATATATATATATATATATATATATATATATATATATATATATATATATATATATATATATATATATATATATATATATATAGACAGACACACACATCAGATTGGCGTGTACCGCTATGATTTGTTGGTTGTAGCAGAATCCATTATAAATTGAAAACGGATATAAATATGTTCCATCATGAAACATGAGATTTTTCATAACGGCCTAGCTAATGTTATTTTTCTTGTGACAACATCAGCAAGAATGGTCGGATCCGGAGCTCGTGGACTCAACCAAGTCTTATTTAAGCTTTACAATCTCCTGCTTCACCAGATAAAGATTGGTGTCCGTACTCTAGGCATGTTCACGTTTCATCACGCTTTACATGCACCAAAATCGTGATAAATGTATATGCTCTTTGATATGTCAAATTGACGTGTCCGATTATGATTTGTTGGTTCCCACTATGATTTGTTGGTTCCAACATAATCCATGAAATATGAGATTCTTCGTAATGGCCTATCTAATGTTATTTTTCTTAACATCTGCCAGAATGGTTGGATCTGGAGCTCATTGACTCAATCGAGTATTGTTTAAGCTTCATGTTCTCTCTCTTAACCGAATCACGTTTGGTCTCCATTACTCTAGGCATGTTCATGTTTCATCATGCTTCACTTGCACCAAAGTCATGATAAGTATATATATGCTCTTTGATACATCAAATTGACGTGTTCCACTACGATTTGTCGCTTTCTACAAAATCCATTATAAATTGAAAACGGATATAAAATGTGCCACCATGAAACATGAGATTATTCATAAAGGAAAGTTTTGGCTTTTTGTCGGCCTATTGCCAACATAAAAGGTGATAAGTGAAATACGATGTCCTATTAGTTCCTTCACTAGATTTACAAACCGAGTGGCTTGACACCTTGCTACCTGTGTTGTAATTAACTAGGCTTCATAAGTAGGTAATCTAACAATCTTCGTATTTTGTGATTACCAAGTGATCATATTCCAAAAACTCAGCATGCTCGTACTCTTTTTCCCTGATAGTGTCACCTCCAAGATATACAATATGTAAACTCGTCAAAGTCTTCAATTTTCTTTCTCCTCTAAGTAAGCATGCAATTGGAAGTTCCAGATTAAAACAACTTAAAATCCAACAAAATGATAAGTTCATGTGAGTGTGAGTCAAGTAGCTCAAACAGCCAACCACTTCGTCCTTTTCAACTCTCAACTTTGATTATATATGAGATTTTGCTGGCTGCAATCTTGCACTCGAATCATTCCAAGATTTTTTTTCCCATAAAACGTTCGTTGTAAAGCTATTCCCCAACTTATCTGCAACACTTTGAGATGGTAGATACCCACCTATTTTGAGCCACTAAATTAAGGATGAATCTCACAATATCAAGTATCAAGTCTATTTATTAGTGTAAAATTTCATGAAAATCCACTCTTCGTCACTGAATAAACCCATCAGTGATTGGTCGAGCTTAGTGATTGGTCGAGCTTTGTACTTCATCGCCTTTTATGGGGTGTCTTTATTTACTTTATAGATCCATTTCAAATCAGTTTCTCTATGTCTCATAGAATTTTTGTAAGTAGTTATATATTGTTCCTTTCAACT